TTATATGCAGTAATTATTATTCGATCGAATTATGAAATTATGTGCAACACGGAATATGGAAAATTTTTATTAATAAATTTGTCACGAGTACAATTATGTTACATACCGTAGAATATATATAACGACAAATTTATCAAAGCGGACCTTTTACGAAGGAGAAAAGGTCGAAAAGCTGTGTCCTATTCCCTAAAAATTATTATTAATCTTAAACTCATAATATTAAGTACGACTACGTACCATAAAAAAATATTCATGTAGTTGTGTCAATTACGTAACATATAAGAAAGTTCGAAAGTTGAAAAAATATTTCGAAAGTTCGTACAAATTTGTACGCTGGATAAGCCTGGATTTGCAAGCAGTTTTCCGGTGTGCCCTTTATAACTGCCGCTTATCGTACTGAATTTGAGCGTAAATTTAGAGCGACAGCAAACCACTTTGTTGGTACGAATAAGCGAGTGACCTATACTGGCAAGTTAGCAAAACCTGCGTCGTTCGTATGACAACATAATAATTTTAATTCTTTTATATAAAAACCGGCACACCGAGATCCAGGTCAATCGCAAACCACGCCCCCTCGCAACACTCAAACCGGTCAACCACGGACCCAAAAATCCACCGGGGCAGACAGCAACCACAAAATCATACGACAAATAAAACCGACTCTACACAATGAAAAGAAACCTCTCCGCGCACTCTATAAGGCCAACGCGTTGCCGCAACACCGCGTCTTCAGAAGCGATCCTGCATGTACGCCTTCGTCCCGCTGAACCCCATGAACGTGTCGCCCTGGCCCTGCACCACCTCCTCCCGGTCGGAATCATAATGCACCGCCGACAACTCCGGACTATCATCATACTCATCCCCATCCAGATCCACCGTACTGCAGATATCACTGCAGAACAACGATAACTGCGACCAAAAGTAGCTGTGCAGCAGACTGTAGGCGATCACCAGCACCAGCGATCCGATCACCACCGACGTCACAATATCCCCCCATCCGTCCTCACAACACCCGTCACCCTGCCGGCATGCAAACTCCGCCACCCGTGTCAGGGCGCGCCATAATTCCTCCATCTCGGCGGGTTTCATCCGTAAAAATGCACTGCGATGATTAATCCAGCATCCCGATCTCCCATTCCACGTCTGCTCCACATTCTCCAAGCGGAACCGCTCCAGTTCCGCGTAATCCGCCACGATCCCGGTGAGGAAGAAGGCCTCCTCCGGGACGAAGGGGATTTTGGGGATCAGGTCGAGGAACGCGCTGGAGGCTGTTTTTATCAGGACAAATTCCGCCGGGAGGTACTGGGTGTGGCGCGCCAGGAGGAGATTGTCTTTGGGCTGAGCAATGAGACCGTCCAGGAAGGCGGGGGTGGTGGTGTGGAGAGCGGTGCCGTGCAGACCGGGTGGGAGGTGGTCGGCCGTGGTCAGGAGGGTGGGCAGGTTGATGAAGGCGGCCGGGGTGGTGCGGACAATAAAATCCGGGGAGGGCTCGCTGCAGGTGCGCTGGATCCAGATTAAGGCCGCTAGGAAATCAGTGGGCAGACGGGAGCGATACTGCAGGATGTCGGCGAAAAGGCGAGATTCAGTTGCCATTGGATCGTCTGCAAGACAGGCAAAATGAGGCATATCGGTGCAAATATCGATCGCGTCAGTTAAATTGCAGCGCAAGAAACGCAGTAAATGTAAATTTTCAATGTACAGATAATGGAAATCAATGAAATCGATGCCAGAAAGACAATACGGTAATATCAACACCATTTCTTTCACACCGGAAAAGCCTCGGAATCCAAGAACGAAGAACTTCTTATATTACTTATTAACGTTTCATTTGCTAGAAAGCGACACAAAACATTACTTTTCCTCATCGCTGTTTTGTCTTTCTAACACAGAACGGAAATTACTGAATGGTAAATTACTGAGAGAGTAATACAGAAAAACTGGAAGCAACATACAGTACAATAATCATCAATTAATACTGGCTTGAGAAGCATCAAAAAACAGTGAATTATCATTTATCGATGATATGTTACTGCTCCACATGTCATGTATTTTATTTTTCAATTTAAACCAAAAACTGATCCTATCGTCCGACATTCCCAATCAACCGGAGCGCGATTCTAAATCTATCGAGCAGAAAATATGGAAAATGGTAAATTGCCATCATTTACTATATTTTATCAGCGTTTCCGCTACCATTCCCCGCATTTTGAAAACGGGATGAGCTAGATTCAAGATTGCCGGCTAATTTTAGAAAGAACAACATCTCCAGCGACCACACACAAGGTATGAGCAACAACCCGTGCTGACGTCACGGACGTTCATCCCGCCAGCGGAGCTCGCGCGCCGATATGAAATGAATGATCGACTATCTGGCGCAGACGCGCGCGCGGGAGAAAAAATCAATTGCCCACATTACAGTCAAATCCTGTTGAGCCCATTCCACCTGGACGGCTTGTCACTCTCTGGCAGCGACACCCGGTCATGTTCGGCGTATTTAGCGGCGCCTCGGGGATCGGTCGGCTTAGCGTTTACAGCAGACGACAAAAATCGGCGAACGCTGGACAGTTCGACGCTGTCGGCTTACAGCGTACTACTTTGAATGAGCGCTTTCACGATCACCGCTACTGAGCGGTGCGCGTCAGCTACGCTCTCTGTTCTTTCATTCATTTGCGCAACCGGCTTTATCGGCTTTAGCCGCAAAACCGGTTTACACGTTAACTGATTTTAGTCGTTCATTCATACATGCAATATATAAACCCTGTGCGCGCGCACAGGGGACTGGGGATGTTGGTTTTTAATCAAATGATCACTGCACTTAATCAGATCAATAATCTGCCCCGGCCCCCCTGCTTTATGACAAATAACAACATCAATGCCGCTTAATAACCGCCGCCCCCCTCCGGCCACTAAACGCTGCGCGGCTGACGTAAGCACAATCTCAATAATATGATTTACTCCCTCGCTTCCTCCCGTCTACCGCGCGCCCGGACGTACCCGACCAGATGGAAGTTTTGACTTTTTTCTTGACGACGCTACTTATGTAAGTATACGCGCTGGCCCTGGGCAGTGCTGGCACGGAATCACGCAATTACCCGACCGAAATCGAAGTTTAATCGTCCAATTACGAGTGTGCGGAATTTCTGTGGAACGGGACCGACTGGTGTTCAGTGTTCTGACAAGAGCGGCGATTTCTACCCAGCATTTAGAGAAATCAAGCATAGATCAATCAAGTTCAAGAATAAATTCAGCATCAAGCAACGTCGACCGTATAACAAGGATAGATAAAAAACTGACAAGGTTATTTCGAGAGAAAATTAATAACAAATGAAAAATACTGGAAAAAAGTGTTAATTCACAATCTACGCGACCCGTAAAATTCCTTTAGACTAAATGTTAACCGGAAGTCTGAAAAGACGACCTACTTCCATTAATAAAACCGCAGCGAAGAATACAGAATATCCAAAACAAAATCAAACAAAGCCATAAACAATAACAGAATTAAAAATACAATGAACCGATCGCGATATCGAACACTTAATATCAAAGAACTGAAAGAAGCAACAATCAAAAGCCAAAGTAAACCATTGATCGGCGCGTCAAAGAAAACCAGTTTGTTTAAAACATACTATTTACAGAGTTACCAACACAAACACAAATTTATCAATCATCACTTTCCAGACGAGAGTGCACAATTCACAATTTATTCATTTAAAATTGCACCGGAAACATTCAATAGATACGATAATACCTTTTCTTAAGCGCCATTAGACGCCGAATACCATTGTAATACTAACGAAAACATTAAAAAAAACATTAAAATGATATTTTAAAAGTTATTCTACTCAAACGGGTCGATAAAGATGACGTTACGGAATCCGGAGATAACTCACTTGATAACTTTTTTACAAGTTTTCTCAGCAAATTACGTATTAACCGCAATATTCTTTCAGATTTCGATTTTATTCAGAAAACTTAAAACTACGAGTTTTTCTCTTAGCGATGCTTCAATCGACAGTGTTCAGAAAACTCAGAATAAATTTCTAACGACACTGCAGCAGATTCTTTTACCTTCCTTCGATCCAGCCATGAGTCGACAGACAAACACCACTCTTATCCGCGCTCCCTTCATCCACGCCCCGCTGCCCCACGTCCGCTACTCCCGCGTTAATCTATCACAGGCCCCGTCACCACAACCACCCCGTAGGATTCCGGCGGCGCGGGAGCCGCGGGCTCTCATTATCCGGCCGTGCCTGCAGCAGTTCGCCCCAGCGCACCCACCTCTTCCCGCTCCAGAGCGGCGGTCACCCCGCTCCCCCGGCACACACTCCCCTCCGGCGTTACATCAAACACAAAATCCTCCCCCTTCAGCAGCGCATACGAGACATTGCGCGCGGCGGACGGTTCAACAAGGATCTTTCCCCGCAGAGCCTCGCCACGCGGCGCCACCCCACCATCCATGACGCTCTGATTCCACATGATCAGCACCAGCAGGCACACACTGCTCAGCACCAGGAGGACGAAACATTTTCGGGGGGATAGGAGGCACAGGAGGCGCTTGAGTATACGGCGGATCATGGCATAATGGAGCGCAGGCGCCCAGCATAATGGAATATCATGGCATCCACGATGTTGCTTGTGCTAACGTTAACTACACAGTGAAATCAATACAGCGATGCCAGCTTGGTGCGGGCAGGTGAAAGATGATATGCGCCGGGTTGAGGGATTATTAACACAGATAACGCTAGCGGAATATACAGAGATGTATTGGGGATAATAATTGTCACATTGTCGGATCCCGTCGGCTGGGGAAAATTGACGAAAGGAACAGGAATGGATCGAGTGGCAGCGGCAATGTGAATGTGCGTGTATGATGCAGGCTGGCAAAGCGCATGGTTAAGTACCGTTGCTGCCGGAAGTGTGTACGGTTGATGGAAATGATTAGATGTGTGGGGCGGAGCTGTAGTCGGATCGGTCTACAGGGAACTACTTCCGGCCTATACAGTTTGCACACTGTTACCATATTTTGCCTCCTGTTTGCTTTGTTTCCCTACGTGCCGCATCTGCCGACGGGGACTTCCGGTCCACATACTAAAATCGGGCAACTGTCGAAACTGTAAAGCACTCAAATATAAATTTTTTCGCTTGATTTCCAGCAGCTAATGGAAGATTTTTTTAAACAACGAGAATTACGTGGTCTATGGTGAAAAATTTAAATCGTGCATCGTCTACTCGTAGAAATTCGAACCAACACCATTTTTGTTGCAATTTTCCTAAGTAGGTAGATTTCTCTAACGTACATACAGAGTATTACCAAAAATTCGGAGTATTTGATCAATTCGAATTTCAAAGACCAATTCCCATTTTTCCACTATGTTCCTTCATAAGAAAAATGTAAAACAATCGCAACATATCAATCAATAAATACGTTCGTCGAAATTGCCATAGTTATTAATAAATAATGGATAATGCGCGTTGAAATTATTTTAATCAAGTTTTTAACCTGTAGCGATATTCAAACCATTAAAAATGAACGCCGAATTACTTTTTCCGGTTATGCATATTTGAACAGTCAGGCTGACTTTGCATATCCGGAAAACGAAACCCAGAGTTACGCTTATAACTTTGCGCCACAAGAAAATTTATTTAAAAAATTAATTTGGCAAGCAGCAAATAATGTTGTAACTTGAAAGCACAGATATTTTCAGAAAAAAAATATAAAAATCCAAGGACAAAATTGGATAAAAGTCGTGTACGGAGGTTTAAGCGATAAAATGCAACCCGGTGATATAACAGGATTAATTCCAAAACGGGAATATAATCAATCTATCACCGCAGCCACATCCACCGTTTCAACCCCGCACTCGCCGTCCACGTTCAACATCCCGTCGAATAATCCGATTAGCCGTGGGGAGAGTCAGGATCTAGTCATGTTCAACAACCACCAGCACCATGACTATGATCCGACACGTCCCACGGCCACATCGGCGTCAGCGATCCCCTCCACACAAAAATCAAAATGGCGGCTAAATAAATCCAACCATCCAACCGGCTAACCCATCTAGGAGAAGAATATGCTTCCCGGTGACCAGATCAATGCTAGGTCCCTGCAGACGGGAAGATATTCCCCGCTTAGATGTAGTCAGCGGATAAATAAAACTGAAAATAATCTAGAAAAAACTGAAGAGCTCGACAAAATGCTAGAGCGTTGAAAATGCCATGTGCTGGGCGCCGCTGCAGCGTGTTAAATATACACGGTCCATGCGGATCTGCAGCAGCACGACCAATGGCCATCTGACATAACCGGATAATTCTCAGCAGAACGATAGTGGACTGTTCCGTGTGTACGCTGTGTGTGTGCAGCTGCCCAAAAGAGACCAGAGAGAGAGAAGGCTTTCTCGGTATCGGGGACTTGTTTGTCTCTCGCTGGCTATTGTCTATCCATACGCAGTTTTCTCGAAAGATAAATCCGTAAGGAGAAACAGAGAGAGAAGGGAAAATAATCTTTTCGGGGTAATAAGTGGCAGGTTGGGCCTATTTTTGTTGGCTGCTGACAATGGGGGGAGACCAGCGAGGAAAAAGCAATCAGGATGTGTGCAGCACGCTGCTGCAGTGTGCGCAGTTCAGTCCAAATTTGCCAGGAAAATATCGGTCAATCATTAATGGGCGAAGGGAGAGGAACAACAGCAAACTATACTGATTAACGGTAATTATTCTAGGTCAAAAATAATGACCGATCAAACATATTCCCATTATTCCGGGATAAGAAAACTGCAAGAGCTCTTGCTCAACTGCAGCTTAAATCTGTGTCAGATCAAAAATCATCACAATGGAAAATATTTTTGGTGGAGAACTCCATGCTCTTTATGTTTGCCTTTATGCGAAAATTTTGGCGGTGTCGAGGGCCATTTTCCTGTACCAACGGTACGGTAATTGCAAGAACACAACATGGAAATTTTTGATCAGCTCCGAATAATGGTCAGCGTGATGAGTTTGTTTGCTACTGGCGTAACGAAGTACGAAACACAACCACAATTATCGTAACCGTGTAAAAAAAGAAATTTAATAACACGCAGCGTAGTTAGGCGCGCAAATGATTTTACGTTCGTTTTAAATTAAAAAGAACTCACGTTTTTTTACGAAAATTTTTATATTATCATTTTCCAAGAATTTTTGTGTGTGTGAACGGTACTTGGTTGAATCGCCGCCATTTTAATCGTCGACGAGCACACACTGCATTAAACCAAGCAAAAATATAGAACCTCGATACAAACAACGAATAGGAAGACCGGCCAAAAAGTTAGTACACTTCGTCTTGTAATAACTTCAGTGCATTTTGAGATCACTTTCCGCTTCGCAATAATTATGCTGAAAACGTATCGTTAAAGCCCAACCGCAGCGCGAACGGCTAAATTTTTTATGTATGTATTAATGGAAATCATGGATTTACTGTAGTTATGACAGCCTAAGAATCGCCATTAATTTTCGTTTTTTATATGTATTTAAAAATAAAATATTGTGATAATGGTCAGCCCCAGCTTTTCAACCAGTCGATAAATGTATGGGATGAGCCGGGCGTGGCCGTGAGATTTGCCGGTTTGGCCGCCGAATCCTGTGTGGATGTGGGGAAAATGAGCGCCACCACCGGCGGAGCCACCGGCTGATTCAGATCCGGATGGAAAGCGGCGCCTTGTTTGATGCGCCAGTTGCGGAGAATGCGGGTGGATGCCGGCTCCTGCTTTGTTCCATGGAAGATTAACCGCAGTGAGTGCAGCGACCCGATGCTCTGATTCGCCTACAATAATACAATAACTGCAAATAAAAACTGCAAAAAGATATCAGCATGTACAACTGTGCCTATGCATTATACGACTACCGTACAGCGAGAAATTAGTTTTCCATAACACAGCTTTATTTGTACAGACAGCGTATGAAATTGTATAATAAAGATAATTTCGTTTACATCAGTTTATTCTGACGGTTTTACTTGAACTAAAGTTTACCTTGTGGCGGTTTCAAAATTATTATCAAATTCATTATACAATTACAACAATTTTCTTTAAATAACTATGCACAACTACAGCGTCGCACACATACTTGTACAGTATATTTACTTTATTAATTAAGTACACGTTTTAAAATATTTTGATACGGTTAATGATGGTAAGGCTCTAAGGCAGATAGAAATAAAAATAGTTACAATATTAATCAAACCTTCCATAATACATCCTTGCTGATTACATATTTATTAAAATTAATTATAATACATGAATGATCAAAGTGACATGTTATGATGTTATGCCGAAATTGAGCTGATTCTAGGCTTGCACTGACATGACTTTCCATTATGACTGTCCACATTCCGCGTGGATTTTCTCCCCAGTTGTGGACAGACACAAATGACCATCCATTCAAACCATCCGGCGCCACGTCGGCATCCCGGCGGGGTGCGATTAATGTGCGAGTACCTATACGGTATACCGAAAAGTAGAGGATTCAACATCACTAATTCACAAATTTTGCTCCGCTTAATGAGTAGTTACCCAAACAGTTTATCATAAAGAGCATGATTAATTACAGTATTATCGTGCAATGAATATATATATATTAATATGTTCTCATTTTCAACGCCAGTACAGAGTACTCGTTCATTGAGTGCATAGTGTTTGTACTGCAAGAAATGGAAACTTTCCTCATGGAAATACAAGTTACAAAAGAATCTTTATTAAGAGAAAAAGAACAGAGAATAACCATACAGTGAAGCTGTAAAATAATACAACATTTTTTATGCAGTCCTTGCTGCTACTTCGGAGGTGCATTTACATAAAGTGTAAATGATTAATTACCCATGGGACTTTCCAGAAATATTCGCACGGCACCGCGCTTAGGATGGGAAAGTGATAGAACGGTCTCCACATGCTCCAGATAATTAATTTCGTTGCCGCTGTCGTGGCACGCCTGCGTTCGAACCTGCACCCGCAACGGGCGGTTATGAGTAAATGCACTAAAAATAAAAATTATAGTTATTTCGTAATCTTACTTTCTGTAGTTGAGAGTTATTTTGTAATCGTACTCAAGCGTTCCCAGTACAGAAAATATTGCCCTTACAGATCTTCCACGCCGGCTTTGCGTACAACGCATTTGACCTTTGGCGGGGCAGTCTGCCAGACTTTGGCCGCTTTCACCAACTTATTGGCGTCCATCAG